ATTAAATGCAAGATCATTGTGGTTTCACTGTTGGTGTTGTTGTAGTCGTTGTAATTGTAATATTGAATGAATATCATAATCAAGCTTTGAACTTGCTAAAACTAATCGATTGTTTCATTTATGGTTTTTTTCTCATGATATGCAATAGTTTTTATTTTTTTTATTTACAATTTAACATTCAGTTTTCAGGGAAGCCACGATCGTCTCTACTTTTTTTAATCTGAAAATGTTTGTTGTTGATTTTTCGTAAGCGATATGCTTGCTGGTCGATCAATGAATTATTCACCTTATGGCGCACAAATTAAAATTAAAATAAAGTTGGTCAATTTAACTACAATTTTTTTATATTCACCGAATATACGAAGCAAAAGTCTCATAAACATAAATTAAGACGATCACTATGTGCGCCGAGACTGTAAAAGTCCATCAGTTAACTGATTGATATATTATGTCAATAGGTTATGACTGTCGGCTAATAAAGTGTCCGATCATTTATTTTTATTTACATTTCACGTGTTTTTGTAAATGTTGTTGGCTGATCAAGCGTCAGTCATTGATAGTAAATATTTAAATATTTAAGATAAAATAATTAAAAAGTTGTGCAAAAAAGATATTACCAAATAGTGTTTATTTTGCCTTCACACATAACGTATGACCCACAAAGATGCACATCATTTCGTAATATTAAAACTGTTTTTCTTGATCGATTGTCGCGTTAGATAATACAGCAAATTAGGTTAATAAAACGAATGTTTAAAGCAGGAAGCTCAAGGCGAAATCTTCACTGGTTTTTAATTGATTTTCTGTTTTTGTGAAATTTTTTGCATATATTTATTGAATATAAAATTAGCACGGATCTAAGGTCAAAACGAATTAATTGGTTGTTCTCACTAATCATAAGCTCTATTAAGCGTCTACCTTAATAGCTGTTACGGCATTATTAAGCGTGGTAAATTATTGGAACAATTATAATCTCCAAATGGAAGATAATATTTAGTGCAACAAAAAAGGTTTCCCCCATTAATATGGGTGAACAAAATTTGGTGAAGTTCAATGGTAATGTAAAAAAATACTGTTAAAGGAATTTTGTTTTGGATGAATTTATTTATGGATTAAAAATAATAATAAAAATTGATCAACTTTAACTGATTAAAAACGTGTTTCATCTTTTATATCAAAACTGCTGAAGCGAAATTTTGCCAATACTTCTTCTTTATGTAAATCAAATAATGTCTTGTTTAATTATTTAAATAATTTCTGATTAATAAAAAAGTACAACATGGTGAAAATATTATACAGCTGGTATGGTTTAAAAATAATATCAAATTATTACACAATAATGTTTTCAATAGAGTGTTTTGTACGAAATTCATTCAATCGACTATACACTTCCAATTTACATATTAAGACATTACGTTACTTACTTGAATACATATAAATATATGAACACTGAATTTTATACCTTAGAAGAATTATAATAATTGGTGTTACGAAGATTTCTATGAATTGTACAAGTTTTGAAGTAAATTAAAAAGTGATCCTAACATTTCTTCTTCTTATACTTATACTTAAAAATATTAAAACTCTATTATTCATGTAATATTATACAGTTTATTTATATACGATTTGATTGATTTTTTAATATCTTATTTTAATATACTTTACATATATGGTATCCGCTATAAATTATTAAGAACATTAAATATTTATTGTTAAAATTTGACCTTTGTTGGTATTAAATTTTTTGAAAATGATGTATGATTTTCCGGTATATTCGGCTATCTGAAAAATAAATAAAAAATATTCAAGGTTTGTAAAATTGAAAGTAATTCTATTATTTTATTAATTTTAAAATTAATTTTAAAATTTACAAAATATGTACTAAATTAGCATTTCAAATAAATCTTCCATCTCTTCAACGAACTTCAATTTTTTTGTGTTGATTAAGCATGATGCAGAAGAGGTCTGAACCGCCCTTCTTCAATTTTTATGATGAGAAAAATTTTCATTGTGAAAAATTCGAATGAAAAAATTAATGTTTTTATAAAAATAACGATAACATGTTTAAGGTCTTTGTTTTCAAATAAGCTGACAATAATAAATTGTATGCTTTATTAAAGTTAAAGGATGCTATTATATAAAATAAAGTTGTTAACTATTGATGTTAAATAAGTTATATATATACTCGTTATATAGCTATATACTCGTTATATATTGATATATTTCAGCTTTATACTTTGGCAAATAACACAAACTTACGATTTAAAAATAATTTGATAATATAAAATCCACTATAGTAACAATCAGAATATAATTTATTATAAATAAATTTGACGCATTCACACTTTCATACACATTTCTCAATTTTTGATCGTTATTTAAAGCTTAATCCAATCAAAGGTTCACCTATTGATGAATTATAATTATATATAATTATCATTTATTTCAATCTATAAAAATACAACATTAAATTATCGTATCTTAAGTAACTTTATAATGATTTTACTTATTCTATACTATTGTCCACAAGAGTAAGTCTAATGTAATTAAGACTCATGTTTTTTAATTTCATGTTAAGCACAAAGAAAGATTACTACATAAATAGCAATGCAATATATATGTATACAGAGTGATTACTATTCGCCAGCTAGAAATTGCACAAAGCCAGACTCTGAGAACACTTTTCAAGGTACCATGATACATTAGGACGAATAACATCCTCAGGGACCTCAAGATTGGTCCAATCAAAAAATACATAAAGAATATGCCCCTGAAATTATTTACGAAAACTGACTGGCTTACCAACACCGCGTTATCGAATCTAAGAATGGTTACAGGCTCCTCGGGGAGGTATGCAGATCTGAGGTCAATTATTTTATAGTCTGATGAAGTGATAAACAATAATCCCGTCAAGGCGTAGAGAGGGATTATGAAGAAGCCTCGCAATTAATAGAGAGTAAAAGTGCTCAAAGTGCACTGACTCAACTGGCCTCAACATAATAATCATCAATAAAATTTTAAATTGATTTTTTGTTATATGCATTTATGTAAAGACCTTATACTTTATTTACAAAGCATATCGTGATGCATTAGACGATAAATAAATATTAGGTAAGGTACAATGTAGTATATATCCGATTTATAGCAAACTGGAGATTATTAGAAGTATACTATTGATTTGAAATATTAAAAATCTATATGCCTCAATTTTATTAATTTCATTAAAGTATCTCTTCATAAAAAATATTTAAACATTCTATAAACTCTATAAACAAAATATTAGCTTTCGAATAACTAATATTTCAAGTATTTCATACATATTTTAATTTGGAAATTTCAATTTTTATGGGTTTTTGAAATTTTGTTAGTTGCTAATGTCAATCTAGGCAGACAATCCAGAAGCTAACGCATTTTAATATACAATTTTTATTATATTCCTATTGACAAATTTTTAGTATCTATTTTGGGCTGAGTTACTTAAAAATTCATAGTTTCATTGTTTGGGAATCGAGGCCAAAGTTGCAGCTGATGAAGTAGAGTAAATTATTTTCTATTATGCGCTGGGGGCTTCATTTGCATGTCTTACAAAATGATCGTTAAAGACTTTTGCTAATTTGAAGTGAAAAATTTTGGAGTTTTTATGGAGTTTTTAATGTGAATTTTTGTTTGAGATGCTATTGTTATTTTTATAATTCAAATCAGATAATGCTAATTTTTTAATTTTTGTTTAATTGTTTGATGATTTTTTTTGTAGAAAATGTATGTAAAAGAAAGAAGCATATTGCTTAGACTAAAAGGTCGGCACTTGTCTGCTTTGTATTAATGATTTGATTGTATTGAAAAAATATAATTATAAATTATTATTTTCATTTAAAAAAAAATTTAAAAAATTTTAAATTAATTATTATTATAATTATAAAAAATTTTGTTAAACAATTCTAATTTTTTTTATAATATTTTAATATATTCTGCATCAAAAGTATTTGGAATTTTAAAATAAAAACAAACAAAAAATATGAACATCAAACCTTATTGTCATTTGAATGTGTAATAGAGTTATCCATCTAGTGCTCCTTACATTTTTCATAGGTTGATTTAGATGATATCGTCTACAACTCTTCTAGCGAATTATTAACTGATATCAAAAGTATACACCGTTTTTTTTTGTAAAGCAAGTCGCTAGAATATTTAATCGGTATTGTAAATGTACTGGACAATATTAAGACAGACATGATGCCTTTTCTTTATCTTTATCTTATATTGATGGCAAACATTATCAAAGGAAATATTTTATCGCCTTTTTCTTTTATTGTTTACTAACCTACAGTAACCAGTCAACAAATCCATTATAAGACCGACATTTTGTTGTGGTGTGGTGATTCTATGAGCTCTCTAGCTGTTTTCCAATTTAACACTTTAATAACTTGACAGTATTTTAAATTGTAATTTAAGTAGTATTTAACATATATATTTATTATATTCATTTTGACACAACTATTATAGTCAATTAATGTACTTAATATTAATATCCAACTAACATAATTGATATTCCTAAAGACATTGAAATTTATATTACTACAGTTTGACAGAAATGCATTCTAAATTTATTGTCATTTTTTTTTCGCTAATATTTATTATGAGGTTTTTAATTGCTTCGCAAAAAGTTTCCATACAACATTTATATGACAATTAAGTTGATAGCTAATTCATAAATTTTTATATTAAATTACTTTTAAATGATATTGGTTGGAATTTCGTTATGCACTTCTCATGAAATCAGGAAATAAGCTTGGAAATGCAACCCAAGACGCAAGATTCTTACTAAATCACTAAAAGATTTATGCAACTTGACTATTTGAAATGGCTAATAATTAATAAAAATTAATTAGTATAATTAAGCTTATATGCAAGAAAAGAAAAAAAAAAGAATAATCATTTTCATCAAGATCACTCATACTAAATTTCGAAATTCCTTATTTTGCAGATGCGCACTTTGTACAAACCGCAATTGCAGCTGCCACCAACGAAAAATTCAATTAAAAAATTTCAAGCAAATGCGATCAAGCAACAAATCAGTATTACTAGTTAAAAGCAGAAAATTATATTTAATACCCCGACAAAATCGTAGCGTTAAATCAGTGGCACAATTTCAATATTAAAAAAAATAAGAGGAAGAAGTGTTAAAACGCAGTAAGCCACCGTAAGACTATTCCATTCTTAGGCTAGTAACTTCCAACGGCAGCTTCTTCCAAGTGCAGACGCAACTGTGTTCTTGTTATGCTAATTACAACATCAAATAAACTTGTAAGACAGCAAGAGGCTAAAGCAGTTAATCGAAAAGAACCGATCCAGTAAACGAACCAAACACAACAGCAAAGTAAAAGAAGCCAACTGGTATCCGGTGGAGAGGAATACCTGCACAAAGCTGAATCATGTTATTAATGCGGCAATTGCTTATCTTGCTTGTTCATCAGCAAATTTTATGTCATGGTAGCTGGGCAATAAGAACATCGGCTACACCTGATATACAAACGCCGACACCTTTGCCATTGGCAACAATACCGTTAGTCACCGCGTCAGAAGCGACTCTGTTGACAAAACAACTATTTACTGCTTCATCAGCATACGGCGCAGTAGCAGGCAAGGTATCAGAAGCGGAAAATGAGATCCCCACAGATAGAACGGAAACAGCGAATACGTCAACGGAAGTTAAAAATAATACGAAAAAGCATCGTTATAAAATTGTTTCCGTACAAACAAATTGCACACGTGATTTATTTGAAATGAACATTGAAATGAATCGCGATTTCCGTGGTTTGCTGTATGCCAAGGACTTTCCATTTGAGTGCCGTGCGCGAGGTACGTCGGATCGTAATGTAACATTACGTGTACCCACATCAGGTTGTGGCGTACGCCAGGAACCACGTACCGATGGAAACATGGAATTGTCCGTGCGAGTTATGCTTCAAATGGAGCAAAAGCTAAGGCAAAGCTCTGATATACTACGTACGATGCGGTGTAAACTGCCGTTCAATGAAATGGGAATGAATGTTATGTCGCCAGCAAAGTATCGAGAGATCACCAATAAAAAGAAAACTTATAGGTAAGTTGTATTATGTCATTTTCGTTTAGCTAAGTTATAAGATTTTTGATTTGTAAATCTGGGGTAACTTTTTTGGGGCAACTTTTTGTGGCTCTGCAGAGATGTATATATAACAGATGAAATGATAACAGAGAGATGATGTATAACACTTGAGATTAATTTAGAACACTCTACATATTTTGCTAGATTACCCTGAAATTAACAGCTGTTTTATATGATTTGGCAAATAAGGAGTGATTTTAAATGTAATGTATATAGCTGCGTGAGAACTTAAAATGATAATACAAGACAAAAATATTGTTAGAATGAAAATTTATATACCAGCGAGTTCAAGGGACCCACTTAGGCCTATAGGCCCAAGTTGTTACCGTATAATTAAAAACTCAATGTTTAAAACCATTTAAAAACCTGGTAGATAATTTTATGGCATTTAACTTTTGAATATGACATGGTTCATTCGATCAGTCCAATTTTTGACTACTTTTTGCATGTCGTCAATAGTGCACGAACATTGACCTCTAGTGCTTCAAGAATTGCTAGTTTGTCAGCATAAACCAATTACTTAACATAACCACATAAAAAGTAATCGTTAAGGAGAGGCGTTAAATCGCACAAACGGAATAGCGCACGTGACGTTAATAGAACCACTTCTGGAAATAAAGTTATTACCAAATTGATTTTGCAATAAATCAATTGTTAAACGCGTTGTATGGCAAGTTAAGACTTGTTGGAATCCAATGCCAAATGTCGTCGATATTTAACTAATTAATTTTTGGAAACAAAAATTTAATCAGCATGCCTCGATCGCCATATACTGTAATGGCAGCTTTTTCCTCATTTCGAAAGAAATAAGAACCGATGATGCCGCCAGCGTGTAAATCGAACAAAACAGTCAATTTTAATGGATGTAATTATGATTCTTTAATGGTTTGAGGATTGCTTATTGACGTAGCCATTTAACCAGAACAGAGCTTCATCACTAAACACAATTTTTCGACGAAGTGCTCTATGAACTTAACGAGCAGATTTATTTTTGTCGAAGTAAATTTCCACTATCGATAGTTCTCAAGCAGCTAAAAAAACGTATCATATATATAAAAAATATAAATGTTTGCTAACACTACTATAAAAATGTTAGATTACTCTTACTCTCCATTATTCTAAATTACCATCAATTGGGTAACAAAATTTGACAGATCGAGAATAAATCTAGATTTAATCCAGGTTCACCAACCGAAAACAACAATAGATTTGCACTGGATCTGCCATTTTTTACTCGAATTATATTGCCAAAAAATTCATAAACGAATTAAACAAGTCTCAGCCACTATTCCCTCATATCATGCAGAACTATTGGTCTTATAACGTCCAATAGCTTTATATATTAGAAGTTTAATTTTATTTGTACCAGGTAAAATAAACAAGTCTAAGTAAAATTTAAACAATGAACAGGTAAATGATTGTGTTTGAATGAAAAAAATTCTTAATCATTAATGTATTCATTTATATTCATTCTTATCAATCTATATAAGTTAAACTTAAACACCTGATAATTCAATATGAACTGGCATAAACTATCCAGAGCTACTTCAATGCCATTACTTAGATAACAAATCGCAAAATATTATGAACATAAAACAATAACAGATAATACAATACATAAACTTATGTATTTTATATAAAAAATTAAGTATATATATAATAAATAATATATTAAATTGTAATAATATATTTTTGTTTTTTAACAATTTGCGGATATTTATTAGAAAACTAAAGTCCTAGGAATAGCGAGTAATTATTAAGGTTACTAATATATATATTAGGCGAGTTGTTATTAAGAATAATTCATTTAGAATTCCTTAAACCACTGTAAAAAATAAAATAAATTAACATAAAATAAAATAAATTAAAATAAAATAAAAATAAATAAATAAAATAAATTAATATTAAAAAAGAGTTCTGCCGAAACCCGGGATTGAACCGGGGACCTTTAGATCTTCAGTCTAACGCTCTCCCAACTGAGCTATTTCGGCTGTGTAATTCCGTTAGGAAATTATAATTTTGGTGATGATGAAAAAATACAAATTTTGATTTAAATTTTGTTTTTTCAAGTTTTAACTTTATGGTTCAAATAAATAATAATAATAAAATAATAATAATAAAATAATAATAATAAAATAATAATAATAAAATAATAATAATAAAATAATAATAATAAAATAATAATAATAATAAATAATAAAATTTATTTACGTTACAACCATTCCATATACATATGGTACATATCTTAAATAGTAAAACAAATAGTTATTTAATATTTATTGTTTTTAGCTAAAAACATTTTTAAAATCAATTATTATTATTTTCACATTTTCTTAAACGTGATTAAAATTAAAATTTTAAAATTTAACACTAAAATTTTAGCAAGTAAATGGACATTTAAATTTTGACAAGGTTGCAAAACTTTCCATGTTCTTTGAGTTTAATTTTTAATAATACAATAACCACTAACCACTTTAAATAATAAGAAATTCAAAAATTAACTGACTAAAAGTAAGAGTAGTTAAGGTAATAATTTCTTAAAGCAATAGTTTAAGGTAGAAGATTGTGTCTGTAGTCAATTTTTTTAGAGGTTTTTGTTGATTAATAATCTGTACCATTTTGTGAAAGTTATCATTGTCATATTGCCCAAAACAACCATTGGAACTCGGAAAAGAGTTTTAAAGACTATTTTTGCCCTTTTTCGGTATATATTATTACTATGAGTGTCTTAGTTCTTTTTATAAAGTATGTAGAACAGTAGATCCCAACCTTGTCCACTATGAGTTTTTTGTTTTTAGTAGGGACCACAAATGTTAAGAATAATAAACTATATGATTATTTTAATATGCTTTATGCATATCTGTATAAAAAATTGTATAAGTGCCTAGGTGCATTATATAGGCTATAAAAAAGGTTTAATAAAAATTACTTGGAAATTTTTTGTGCTTATTTTCTAATGTGTGAGATCTCAGTGGACAGACTATAAGCTATGCATCCATACCTATTAAATTTGATTCACGGACCATTTTCAACTATTTAACAATAAAATATTGGTAAGTAAATCTTATTATTTAAAATTAGTTTTCTTTACTATTTATTTATATACCCAATTTAAAAAACAAATAGTTGTTTAAATATATATAAAAGGAAATATAAAGATATCTTACCATTCAATTTTTTACTTTTTATTAACTATTAAGACTTTGCCCTTTTATTACTTCCCCTTAAAATAAATGTTTTTTTATTAAATTTTTAAGTTTTTGGTTTTTCAGATATTTCCTTTGAAAATTTGTAAACTATTATTAAAAAGAAAAGAAAGTCAACCTAAAATTTACAATCAGTTGAGAAAATTTTGAAAGCCTTTAACTGAGTAAGTCCAGTTATTACCCAACCTAATGGGTAATAATCAAGGATACAAATAAATTAATATAAAATTTTTATAGTTTACAATGTAAAAACATATTCTTCTTTATAGTATATTTATATAAATCCATGTTTTTATATATAAATTTACTTCCGATCATTAATTTTTATGCGTACTTTATGATATTGCATACAAATTGCATTTATATTCAAACTATATACATTTGCTTAAATTGATGAAAAATTCATATACAAATTTTTCCCAAACTTCCAAATTTTCCAGACAAACAGAAACATATAACTGTACTGATTTGCAAAGTCATTCTAATAAATGATGTATATAGAAGTGTTAGTCGCATTCGTATTTTCCAAATAATCCGAATATTCGAACATGAAAAAATAATTCGAACAGTCTTAATTAACCACAGGTAGTTCGCGGACCACCGGTTGGAAACCAATGATGTAGAAGTTGTGTACAAAATTTATATGTTTAAAGTGTCATGACTCTAGAAAGATATATTTCATTGTTATTAGAAAGGAAAAAAATGTGGAAAATATTTTGAAAGAAAATTTATATTAAGACGTGCTGCAAGGCTCTTTGAAAGTAAGAAACTTAGAGAAATATTTCTTAATATTAAAATATATATAATTACGGTATTGTAAGGAAGAATCTGTTCCTAAGTTTTGTACTTTCAAGAGCGTTGCGATTGTTCCCAAAATTAATTGTTTTTCTATTATTTCATATCTTTTTCCTTATAAGTAAGGTACAGGAAAATGATATAACTAATCCGATCAGGACAAAAATGTTTATCCATGCAACTGACGTTCACTATAATACATAACCGTATATAAGTGCTCTTATAACGAAAAATTTAATATTTGTTTAAAATAGTAATACATAGGTATACTAAACAAAATCGAAAACCGAGCCATTCGAATATTTCAAATTTCGTTTATAGAATGGGGTGTGTTATTAAAGAAGTTTTACAGAAATAATTGTCTATTTGATGTAAAATGGACTATCCGGTTAAATTAGGCTGTTCGAATTATTTGATCATGTTTGAATATTCGGATTAATAATAAATAAATAAGAAATAATTGTCTATTTGATGTAAAATGGACTATCCGGTTAATTTAGACTGTTCGAATTATTTGATCATGTTTGAATATTCGGATTAATAATAAATAAATAAGAAATAATCGTCTATTTGATGTAAAATGGACTATCCGGTTAATTTAGACTGTTTGAATTATTTGATCATGTTTGAATATTCGGATTATTTATTAAAACGAATATGACTAACACTTCTGTATATATCATTTATTAACATGATGTTGCAAATATTATAATATTATTAATATTATAAAATATTGTATATTTTTGTCGGTCTGCTTGAAAGACTGGAAGTTAGATATTTATTTGTCAATTAATTAAAGGTTATTGGAAGAAATCTGAGTATGAATTTTTCATCAATTCAAGCAAATGTATATAGTTTGAATATAAATGCAATTTATATGCAATATCATAAAGTACGTCGAAAAATTAATTAACGAAAATAAACTTGTATATAAAATCAAGCATTTATACGATATATTATAGTTTATATTTACTATATAGAAGAATTATAGTATATATTTACTATATAGAAGAATTTTTTTCTACATTGAAAACTATAAAAATTTTATATTAATTTATTTGTATCCTTCATTATTACCCATTAGGTTGGGTAATAACTGAACTTACTCAGTTAAAGGCTTTCAAAATTTTCACAACTGATTGTAAATTTTAGGTTGACTTTCTTTTCTTTTTAATAATAGTTTACAAATTTTCAAAGGAAATATCTGAAAAACCAAAAACTTAAAAATTTAATAAAAAACATTTATTATAAGGGGAAGTAATAAAAGGGCAAAGCCTTAATAGTTAATAAAAATTAAAAAAATTTACTGGATAAATAGCTTTGTATCATGAAGCTAGTTAAGTTTCTTCTTTTAAATAACTTTAAATACCTATTTATTTTTCATATTGGGTACATGAACAAACAGTGAAAAGACATCAACTTTTAAATAATAAGATTTACTTACCAATACATATTTTAAATTATAAGTCCCAGAATAATAATTAATTTTGTTTAACTAAAAACTTATATAAAACTTTTTTTATTTAATCTAGTTTGAAAAGTTAGATCAGTTAGTTCTACTTAACTTCCTTCTATTTTGCACATAACAAATACTCTAGATTTATTGTGGCATTATCTCACTAGACTGCAATATTGATTATTTTCCAATTAAAATGGCATTTATTTTTAGAAATGGACGAATGCGAAACTTTAACCAAAATAAAAATAACATCGAAACTACTCAAAACTCGATGCAAGATGATGAAGTGGTTGAGCAAATGCAGGAAACAACACAAACCTCACAACAAACCGTAACAGCAACACCAATAACATCAACTACATCGACACCGCGTGTTCGTATCTGGTTGGAATTGGGCGGGCCCGATGGTTCCGGTGCTGTTGAAGTAGGTCAAGCTACAATATTAACGGTGCGCGCAATTGTTCCTGGCACAATGGGTGTGCGTGTAGTTGATTGTGCTGCATTAGATGGCCTTGAAACAACACAACAATTATTGGACGAACGAGGCTGCCCAATTGACGAGCAGGTGAGTTTATTTTATATATAGGAAAGCATCAATCAATATAAGTTAAAAAAATTGTTATTACTTAGTTTAATAAGAAAAAATGCATACGAGAAATGGATGTAAAGCAACTATTAACAAATTAGGTTAATAGATTTAGTTAACATAAAACTAGCAGCGCGGTTTTTAAATGTCATAAAACAGGAGGATATGTTAGAGAAAATTACAGTTCATTAGACTTATCCGCTATTAAAATCTGAAATCTATGTATTAAAACATAAAATTTTAATACACGATTACCAGTATTAAAGTAAAAACTATATTCAATTATATTTGCATATTGATATTACAAGTACGTATATTTTTATTGTCCAACATAATTAACATACAAGCAGGAGAAAGAGAATTTTTAGTTTGTTCACTCTAAAAATAATACTTAAAAATAAATTAAAATTTTTGTGTAGAAATCTTGAAACAAATGCAAAACTATTACATTTATATGTTATTTTCTCTACTAAAATATCTAAATTACTGTGCAATAAGAATTTTATGTTTATTTGGATAATAAAATCTCAAACAGTGTATACCAGTCGCAACAGATTCAAAACAAACGATAGTAGAACAGTAGGGATTCCTTTTCTATTGATATAATATTTTATTAAATTTATTATTCAATAATGTTATTCTGTGTACTAATACCAGATGGAAATGACTGCAAACGGCTAGAAAAGGGGCAGCTTCATATTATATTGGGCCTTTCTGCGGTCCTTCTTAAAGCTTTTTCAAACATAAAATAAATGAACGGCTGAAAAAAGCAGCTCAGACTGGTTGGGATAATGTATTTGCCTGTAGACAAGCTAAAGAATTCATGCTAAATCGATCAAAAGCCAGCACTAGGGAGCTACTAATGCTGAACAGAAAAGTCAACTGACTTCTCATAGGGTTTCTCACTGGACATTGCGTAGGCAAAAAACATCTATCGAATCTAGGTATTATAAAAGACGATAGCTGCAGACTTTGTCGCGAAGAAGAGGAAACAGCAGAACACATTCTGTACCACTGTGATAGTCTTGCCAGAATCAGACTTCGGTACTTATCAATTGCCTATCCACTTATAGCGGAAATACGCAATATCTCTCTAAGGGTTATAATGGCATTTTTAACTGTTACGCGCCTATAGAACTAAAGTAGGTTTGTCATAATAACCCTCTAAGGATGCAGTGACGTGGTAGCATAGCTCCTAACTCTTTCAAAATCTATCTATCTAATGTCTACTATAATTTGTGTAAAGTACATGCTTAAAGTTAGCCAAGACCTAAAATCCAATTGAGTTTCTGTTCGTTTAGACACATTCGTAGATATATTTGGTAGTGTTCGTCACATGCTTATCGCCTTAACATTGGAGACAACATTAGTTTAAGTTTCTAATATCGCCTGTATATGCGGTTAAGAACTTACATACGAGAATACAGGAACTGGCGTTTACTGATCTTATATTTATTTTGGTAAAGAATTCAACTTCAAACGGAAATAGTGTTAACAGTAAAAAATTCCTTTAAAATTCCTTTAATTTAATATAATTAAATTAAAGAACTAATTTAATATCAAATTTTATAATTTATTGTTTTAATGACCAAAATTTCTATTAATAATTTTGTTTTTAAAACGGACTAATTGGTCAATTGTTCAAATAATACATTTTAAAATAAATTTTTATTTACATCAATATTTCGACAATATTTTATAGTCAATCTTAGAGTACTTATTTTAAATTTTTTTAAAATATAATAATAATAATTAAATAAATAAGTAATAATTAAATAATTAAATAAAATTACAAAGCAATAATTATAGATAGGCAGGGTCTATCGTTAATCTCAAGGGATCCACTTAGGTCTATAGGCCCATTGTGTTGCCGAATATTGACAAACTTAGAGGCTAGAACAACTTAGTACCTTTGGCAAAGCTTATAATGCTATTCAAGGGAAGGTCTTTAAGTTGATCTAAAGAAGTTGATGCAGCAGATCCTCCTAAAGTGGTAAGGTGGCGCCGTGCATTTGTTGGACAAAAATAAAGCACACCTTTTATCGTCCTTTCCACAACTGCGGCAGGTATGATTAAAAGAAAGATTTAAACTTCTAGCATGGTCACCTAAAATGCAGTGAGTACTCCAAAACTGATATCTCTATGAGGTGTCTCAATGAGAAAATTTATTTTCCTTTTATTGGAACATGGTCAAATTGCTTAAAGAAATAATTATACAATACATTAACAATAAAACATCAAATACATATATTGTGGTATTACATCTATTGCATTAAATTGAGGGCTTATTTATCATAGTTCGAATGATACGATTAAGCTAAAAAATACGCCGTCACAGTATCAGGATCATAAACATTATTTATATTTTCATTTCTTTTCTTTATCAAAGAAAAACTGCAAAATATGGCGTATTTTCTTTTTGCTAGTGTCCATCTTTGACGTTCGTTCAAACAACACTGAGTCAACTGTCAGAAGTTTTTTTAGTTCAAAATCTCATTTTTCATCTAGAGTTTTTTTAGTACGAAATCTCATTTTACATCTAGTGTAATCCGACCGGATTTATTCAACGCGTGATACAGATAACTAAAGCCTTGGCAAAATAATGGATTTCTTTTTACTACACCTAATATTTGTTCTGGTCCTGAGTTGTTGTAGGTGTATCACTAGATGTTTATAATATATAAAGCATTTCTAAGGAAAGGCGTTTTTGTTGTTTATTCTCGTGGAGAGAATTGATGAATTTTTAAATTTTTAATCAAGTAAATTCTTGAATTGTTCCGAATACCGCCAAATATTTACCATTAGTGGTCTTTTCGAAATATTTATTGTTTAATTCTCCGTATATAATATATAAACTGCGAGTATCAGGAATTGATTCCTGTCAAATTTGAATCATAAACCAGTGTGTAAACACACAAATTTAAGGTACAGTTAATTTACATTCCTGTCAAATTTGAATTATTAATCCGTGTGTAAACACACAAATTTAAGGTACAGTTAATTTGCATTATTTAAATTTAGAAATAAAATAAAAAAAATACTTGAGTGGGTGGACGTAACAATTATAAAGCTTCAAAATAAATTATGAAATTAAATCAAAAAACTGAATGCGGAAAATTTTAAGTAAGATGAAAAATACATAATACAGTCAAATTGATGTAAAAAATTAAAAATTTCAGTTATTTGTATCTCTAAAACTTTAACATTAAGCATAGGTAATAATTTTTTATGCAAAGCTCTTATTTGATTCATAAACATCTCGCATCTGAATTGCATCACATTCATCAAATTAACATGAACTTAAGTCTGAGATACAGCGGTAATAATAATGTAATAATAAAGGTTGTAAATGAAATTTGAGTAGCAGTACTAACGACTAACTACAAATGGTACTAACATCATACATGTGCCATGTGCCAAGTTCAATGTTTCCACATAAACCAAAACAAAACAAAACAAGGCATTAGCACCGTCTAAGGCGGAATAGACATGAGGTAGTAAGAGTATAACAACCCATGGCAAGCATTATAAAATTTTTATTAGCTTCTTTATTTATTATATTAACGCAGTTAATAGATTTGTGAGAAAAAAGGTTTTCTGTGAAAAAGTTGTACTTGTACGAGGCAACACTTAACAGTCAAAACGAAAAAACACAATAAGAAATTTAATGTATCTTACACCATATTTATACGAATGAAATATGTACGCAAAAAAAAGATTCATTTGTGGTGTTAATAAAGTTTATTTACCCTTTTTCACGTTGGATACTGAAATACTTAAGATCCAACATACTATTTATACAGGCTTTTAAAGTTAAGTAAAGTAGCATGTGAAGGGAGTATAAGTCAAATGCAACTATTAGAAATTTTCCAAGATACTCGTAAGTTTATAGATTTGTAAATGGTAGTCCTAAATTGTATTAAAAACAAATGTGAAATTATTAATCAATGTAACATAAAAGATAAATTAATTTTGTGTAATTTTGTGGTACCTCGTTTAATAGAAATAAAGTTAATGAAGTGTAAATTTCTGAAATGTATTCACGCTCTTGAATTTCTTAACCTTGATAATTACAGACTAATGAAAAATTTATACGTCGATTAGGTTTGGTTACCATACTACCGAGACTAATTAACTATTTTTATCTAAAGTAAATAAAACAAATTTTTTTTAATCATACACATATATATGGGAATTTAAATAATTTTGTTAATAATAAGGTGTTTTTCTTTCTAATATGTATTAGAGTATAAATAGTGTATGTTAATAAGTTTCTTACTAAAAAATATTCAACTATTACAAAACCTAAATTTAAAACTATTTAAAGAACTTCGACTATGACTAAAATGTTCATTATGTGAAAGTAGAATTTAAAATCAAAGATTATATTTATATAATACTTATTATCTATTACTTATATAGCTATGTGGTGTTGGTCTAATGCAGTATCTCTCTCTAGACGATTCTAATCCGTACGAATTTTCTTAGTCTCTTCTATCAAATACGGTTAGTACTTTAACTTATTCGGTATACTAGTGATATAATTTTCTTCCAAGTGCCTTCTTTTAGTGGTATTAATCTAATGCAGTGCCTTTCCCCAGGCGATTCTAATACGTACCAATTTCTTCAGTCTCTTCTATCAAATGCGGTTAGTGCTTTAACTTATTCGGTGTACCTTCTTTTAGTGGTGTTGGTTTACAGCAGTGTCTATCTCCAGACGATTCTAATACGTACCAATTTCTTCAGTCTCTTCTATCAAATGCGGTTAGTGCTTTAACTTATTCGGTGTACTTAACAACTTATATGTAGGCATAACTTATACTAGTGATATAATTTTCTTCAAGGTACCTTCTTCTAACTATCATTTCAAACAACTTTTTATTTGAAGTATCATCTTCCATCTTTACGACATGACCAATTATGCGAAGTTTATAAACTCATTAAGTAGATAAAATTTTGAAAGCATAATGATGTTTTAA